TGGGGGGGTCACAGTGCGGTTATTGGGGGGGGGGTCGCGGGCGCAGCCCGGTTTGACCGTGGGGCCGCTGTGGGGCCGGGGTCCCTCCCCACGCAGGGCCTGGTTGGGGGCCCCTGCGCGGCGAGTGCCCCCAAGGTGGAGATGGGGGGGGGGTGCGTGAGCCCCCCGCGTCCGCACGTGGTCCCTCGGCCGCCCCGCGCTGCGGGTCACGGTCCCCAGAGCCGCCGGAGCCGCTGGAGCTGCCGCCTCCGCTCGGCCGGGTCGGAGCCCCGCGGAGCCGGCGCCAGGAACCCCAGAACCGGCCCCCCAAGCGCCGGGGGGGCCACGTGCCCCCGGGAGGGTCCCCATGGATCCGCCATCCCTGCCCGCTCCCCTGCGTGGCGCGGCCGCCCCCCACCCGTTCTCCTCGCAGCCCGCGGGAAGCAGATGGAGCGAATTCCTGGCGGTGTGGGCTGCTCTGACATTCCTCGGCAGGCAGCGTGTGCCCAAACTTGCCGAAAATAGTCTCTTCCCGCTCCCTTCCCGCTGCCCGCCGTGCGTTCTCGGGGAGGGGGCGGCCGGGGTGCCGCGGGGCGCCCGTGGCGGCGTCGGCAGCGCCGCGTTCCGGCGCCGCGCGCCCCGATTGTGCCGCGAGCTGCCCCGGAACCCGGCGGGCGCCTCACGCCGCCTCTCCCGCTCCCAGGTGGCCGGCGGYGGAGAGCCGGTCGGCAGCCGCCATCCGCAGGGCGCCGCCGCGCGCCGGACGGGGCCTCTCCGGCGCCGCCGCTCCCTGACGCGGGATCCTGGCTCGCTCTGGTGCCGAAGCCGCCGCCATGAACGGGCTCTCGGTCAGCCAGCTCTGCTGCCTCTTCTGCTGCCCCCCCTGCCCCAGCCGCATCGCGGCCAAGCTGGCCTTCCTGCCCCCGGAGCCCACGTACGCCATGGTGCCCGAGCCCGAGCCCGCCGGCAGCGCCAGCACCGGCTCGCTGCGCGCGGGCGCCGCCGCCCGCTGGAAGCTGCACCTCACGGAGCGCGCGGACTTCCAGTACACGCAGCGCGAGCTCGACAACATCGAGGTGTTCGTCACCAAGAGCGCCCGGGGGAACCGCGTGGGCTGCATGTACGTCCGCTGCGCGCCCGGCGCCAGGTGAGTCGCGCGCGGCTGCCGCGCTGGGTCCCGGCGCCGGCCCGGCCTGACCCCGCGCTAAATCCGCTGCCCTGCCACGGGAGCCGCGGATTTAGAGGCTCCCTGCGGCGTGGGGCCCGGCTCTCGGAGCCTCTTTGGCTGGCGGCTGCCGTGGGAATGGGATTAAACCAGGGCAGGGAGGGAGGCGAAGCTGAAGCTGGGGACTTGGGTGCTGCCRCCGTGCACCCAAGGTCCCCCCGCCATCCTGGTGTGTCCCTGTGGCAGAAGTTGCTCCCATTCCCAGGATCCCGGAACGCGCCRCGGCTGAGCAGTGCAGCCAAATTTYCTGGCATTCCCAGGAGCAGAGTGACAGGAGGGGGATTTAGGCCTGGGCGGCTGTAGCTCCTCCCGCCCAGGTGTGCTGGTCCCTGGGACCGCGAACCGGGCAGACCGGGGTGTCGTTGGCCTGTGGTCAACAGTCGAACTGCTCCAACCCCTCGGTGGCCTCGGAGACCTGGGTCACTTTGTGGTGGCCCTGGGGTTGGTGCCTGAGGGTCTCGGGCCGGTTCCTGGGCGGATGCTTCTCCGGAAGGAGAGCGCGGCGCTTTGGCCGGAGCCTCCAGGAATTTGCGGCAGCTTCCTGGGATCTGCTGGGACAGCTGGCGGGGGGACGCGGAGCCCCTCCGGCGGCCGCTCGCGTCCCCACGGGGCCCTGAGCGAGGGCGGCAGCTGCTCCCCGGGCCGGCGGCCCCGCGTGGCCCCGGCGCCRGGACCCGGCGGCGCCGCCTCGGAGCCCCGTCCGCCACCTTCAGTTCTTCCAAGTGCCCCTGATCCCGAGTGCAGGGAGCGTCCCAGCTCCTGGAGCTGCCAGACCCCGGCCCGCGTTGCTCCCGCTCCAGGAAGCTCCTCCTTTGTAGCAATGTCCTTTGTGTAGCACGTGGTGTCCGGGATCCCTGAGGGCCCCATCCAGGTGCCTCCTCGACCTCTGCCTTTTGGGAGTTCCTCCGCGCGTCCCGGCTCCCTTTCCCGCTCCTGCCTTGGCTACGTCTGTTCCCATGGAGGGGGGTGACCTGCAGCGAACCCCTTCCCGCCTCGGGGGAGCTTTGGGTGATGGAGACCCCGGGACCTGGGCGCTTTCAAGGTCCCTCGGTGCCATCCAGCTCCGTTTGCAGCTCCGAGCCCAGCAGCAGCGCCCGGTCCCCTTGTCCCGTGGCGCCTGGGTCCCTTGTCCCGTGGCCATCGCGCCACCATTGCCGTGAGAAACGGAGGCCCGAAGCACCAGGACGTCCCAGCTAGGACCTGGGGCCTATCCACAGGGAGCGGGTCCCGTTCCCTCCCTCTGGAAAGGGCAGCGGAGCTTCTCCCGGGCGGTACTCGTTTTGCCACTCGTTGTGAACACTCTTCTTCCCCTGATGGCGGACGTTTCTTGCCTTGTTCCCACCTCCCCTTCCCTCCCCACGTCTGGCGTCTCGCCAGGCACAGGAGAGCAACAAATTCCCTGTCAGAATTCTTACTGAAAATCCCCATCGGGCAAATGGCCCCGAATCCTGCGCTTTCTGCCCAAAATAGACTCGAAAACTCAAAGGGAATAATCCTGCCTTTCGGCCACCTTGGTTTCTGCTGGCAGCGCCGTTCAGAACCGTGCGGTGTCTCCCGTCCCCTCGTGAGGGGGTTCCTCGTGGCATCATCCCCCTTGGGAAGGGCAGAGTAGATCCATGGGAGAGGAGAACGTCGGGATCTGCTAGGGCTGAGGAGCCGGGTGCCTGGGGGCAGGTTGAGGCCGGCGGGGGTGGATTGGGCATCTCGGGGGCTGCCCCAGGGTGGCCCAAGGACCTGTTGGGCGGCCAGGGGGTTATGGACCCTTTCGGTGCGCAGGTTCACGGTGCTCTTCTCGCACGGCAACGCCGTGGACCTGGGCCAGATGAGCAGCTTCTACATCGGCCTGGGCACGCGCATCAACTGCAACATCTTCTCCTACGACTACTCGGGCTACGGCGTGAGCACGGGCCGGCCCTCCGAGAAGAACCTCTACTCGGACATCGACGCCGCCTGGCAGGCGCTGCGCACGCGGTGAGGCCGGGCGCCCGCGGGGACGGAGGCGCCAGGAAAACCCCAGCCYGGGAAAACAGGAAACCTCCCCCAGAGGGGCCCGCGCCGCTCCGAACAGGAAGGGGTGGCCGGAAAGCCYGGGGGGCCGCAGCGGGGACCGGGAGGCCGCGGATGCTGCCTGGGAGAGCTGCCCCTCTCTGCAAGAGCTGCTGGGGGGAGGACGGGACAACAGCCCCCACTTCCGCGCACCCGGTGTGAAGGGGGCTCGGATGAGGGGCTCGGATGTGGCAGAGGGTGTCTGGCTGAGCCCAAACTCTTTGCTCTTTGCACTGGGACATGGCATTCCCCAACACGGGCACGAGGGCGGRCGCTGTGAGGGACACCCTTGTCCCGCACCGTGGAGCCCGGCGCCGGATTCGAACGCGTCCCACGGGCCACCACTCAGTCCCTGAGCTGCCCCTCTCTCCTTGCAGATACGGGATCAGCCCGGAGAACATCATTTTGTACGGCCAGAGCATCGGCACGGTGCCCACGGTGGACCTGGCCTCGCGCTAYGAGTGCGCGGCCATCGTGCTCCACTCCCCGCTCACCTCTGGCATGAGAGTCGCCTTCCCCGAGACCAAGAAGACCTACTGCTTCGATGCCTTCCCCAAGTGAGCGGCCTGGGACAGGGCTGGCCACGGGGACAACCCCGTCCGGACGGGGGCTGTGGTAAAGGGTTACGGCAAAAATTGGCACGCTGTGGACCTACTTCCCACGGCAGCCCTGGAATTGTCCTCCTCCTCATCAGGATCCTCGTGCTTTGCGTCGGGTCCCCTTGAGGGGATCGATGCCCTTGCCCAGAGGCACCGTGCCCGTGGCCCGTGGCCCTGGGTGCCGGCCCGGGAGGCGGCCGCGCGTTCCCTCCTCCGGCCCGGCCCACGGCTCCGGGCGAGCGTGAGGCCGTCATGTCCCGAGGGGCTCCTGGCACCGCTCCCTGCTCCTCACGTCACGCGCCTGGGGATGTCCTGGAGCTCAGCCCTGGCGCGAGCTCCTCCTGTTCCTACACCGGGATCAAAGGGCACTTCCTGATCCCTTTTCCCAACGGAATGTTCTGGGGTGGAGGAGGAGGAATTGGGAAGCGGAGTGGGGCTCCATCTCTGTATTTACCCCCTGTCTCTTCCCACCTCCTTGGCAGCATCGAGAAGATCTCCAAGATCACCTCGCCCGTCCTCATCATCCACGGCACGGAGGACGAAGTCATCGACTTCTCGCACGGCCTGGCGCTCTTCGAGCGCTGCCCCAAGGCCGTGGAGCCGCTCTGGGTGGACGGGGCCGGCCACAATGACATTGAACTCTACAGCCAGTACCTCGAGCGCCTTCGCAAGTTCATCTCGCAGGAGCTGCCCAGCCAGCGCAACTGAGCCCCGCGCAGCGGCCCCGCCAGGGGCGGCAAGGGGGCTGCCGGGCCCCTCCGTCCCCTTCGTGCCCCCCTGCCCCTGCACACGCTGCGGGAGGTGGGGTGAGTTTGCACGGCCTCAGCTGGCAGTGAGGGGGGCGGTGAGGGCCCCGCGCGGGGCCGGGGCGGCCCGGCGAGCGCTGCCCTCCCGCCCGGGTGCCGCGTGCGGCAGCTCCCTCCTTGGCCCTGTGGCAAGAGACATGAGCCCTCGGTGGCCGCTCCGGGGCTTTGGACACATCTCCATCCCCACTCCAGGAAACAAGGAGCCCCCCAACTCATCCTGGCTGCTCTGCTGGTCTGACTATAGCAATAAGGCGAGGGGAGAGGGGGTGGCTGCGGGGGGTCCTGTGGCCCCTCCCCGGGCATGGCTGCGTGGCGCCGCTCCCGAGCATGGGACACGGGACGCGCGCAGAGCTCGGGATGGAGCCTCCCTGGCACCGGGGTGAAGGGGCACCCGGGAGCCCTGGGGACCATTGGGGCAGGCCTGGGAGGTGTCAGTGCCGCCTTCCTGCCTGCGTCCCCTCTGCTCTGTCCCYGCTGCCCCCAAGGCGGCCTCCCCGTGCTCGGGTCGCCCCCCGGGCTGCCTCCCAGGCTCGGCTGGGCAGGGGGCCCTGAATAAAGAGCTGAGACCGACGGTTCTGCCCGCGTGGCGCCGCTCCCTGCAGCCCGGCCGCGCTCCGCACCGGCCGGGAGCTGCATCCAGCACCGCTCCCGGGGCCGCGGGCAGCCCCTGCCCTCCGCTCAGGGCCCCTCACAAAGCCCCGGTCCCCCCAGGGCCCCTCGAGCTCCCCGCACCCCCGTCCCCCGCGCGTCCCCTCCCCGTGGCTTCCCATGGGAATCATGTGCCGGGCGCTAATCTCCTTAGGCTGCACTCGGAGGCTCCGGAGCCTGCATGCGGCCCCGCTCTCCGGGGTGCCTCTCCGGGTACCACACGTGTTCGTGTCCCCATGTCCCCCACCATGGCCGGGAGCTGGAGGGCACCGGGATGGTCTCCGCGTGCGGCCGTGGGGGCATCGCCCTGTGCTGGGTGCCCGGCGCCCCCGGCAGCGCCGCCGGCTCCACTGAGCCGGCCCGGAACAGCCCGCGGCTCCCTAATCCCGGCACAGAGACCGCTTGTTTGCAGCGAATGTATTTTTATCCTCTTAGTGCTGCCTGTTTCCTGTTGAAGCGGCTCCTTCGGGGAGGCTCGGCCACGCCGACGGGGCACCCGGCCTGGCCCGCTCCCTGTTTACTGCTTGGAAAAAACACGGGTGGAAAAGTCCAGCCTGGCCTCCCAAAGCGAGACCCGCGTGGTGCCCCATGAGCGCTGGGACTGGCACCACTGGCACAGGAGCCGCTTCCCATCCCAGCCAAGCTGGGAATGGGGATGTTGGGAATGGAAGGCTCTAATGGAAGGGACAAGGAGCCGGAGCTCCGTGGGGATGGGAGGTGCCGACGCTGTCCTGGGCCCTGAGCTGCCTTTACCCTCTGGCACCAGTTTGGGAGAGGCAGGAGGAGCCCGGGCGCTTTGGAGGGGTGTAGGGGACATAAGGGAGGGGTGACAGGGCCAGCGGCCCCTGGGATCGTCTTGGAGCCGCAGCCGCGGTGAGCGAAGGGCTCCACAGGCTCGTGTGGGAGATGATGGGCTGGGAGCACACGTGTGTGCACACGTGTGTGGATGTGCAACGTGTGCAGGGATGTGCAACATGTGTGCATGGATGTGCAACATGTGTGTGTGGATGTGCATATGTGTGTGGATGTGCACAMGTGTGTGGATGTGCAATATGTGTGTGTGGATGTGCAACACGTGTGCATGGATGTGCAACACGTGCATGGGTGCACACACGTGCAGGGATGTGCACATGTGTGCATAGATGTTCTACACGGGTGCATGGATGTGCATTGGGTGTGTGTGGATGTGCAACACGGGTACATTGGATGTGCAACGTGTTTACGTGGATGTGCAGCACGTGTGTGGATGTGCACACATGTACATGGATGTGCAACGTGTGTGCGTGGATGTGCAATGTGTGTGGATGTGCAACACGGGCGCGTGGATGTGCAGCATGTGTGTGGATGTGCACACATGTACATGGATGTGAAACATGTGTGTGGTTGTGCACATGTGTGTGTGTGCGTGGGAGGGGACGCACCCTTAGGGCCATCCCAGGCCTCCAGCTGCCGTCACCGCTCCCCGAGGCTTCAGGCGCCCGGGATGGTCCCGGCTCGGACGGGAGCGTCGCCCGCGGCCGAGYGGGACCCGGCCGGGGGGGTTAAGTCGCTGTGGGGTGAGCGGGGGGCACCAACGCGGCTCTTGCRGGCAGGACCCTGCGCCGCGGTCATGGGACCCCGTTCACAGGCCCAGCTCGGTCATGGGACGCCGGCGAGTGAATTAAAGCGCCTTAAGGAGCTTTTTTTTCGGAGCTCGGCTCCGTTTTTCACGTGCTTGTCATATGAATGAGGACCGTATAAAAGGACGAGGGGAAGGAGCCGGGGGCACAAGGCCGGGGCGCTGGGCTCTGCGCGGAGCCTGTCCAGGACGCAGGGAAGGAGGAAGCGGAGGAAGAGGAGAGGGTCCATGGGCGGCATCGCTCCGCACGGCCAGGTGAGCGGGGCGGCGGGTGGGGGCTCCGGGGGCCCTGGGGACAACGCGCTGGGTGTCCCGGTGTGCCCAGGGCTGTCCCGTCCCAAAGGTGCCCCCACACGGAGCGCTGCAATGCGCACGTGTGTGCATGCACATRGATGTGCACACACACGCAGGGTGCAAGGGCGCACGTGCACCCCGGTGCTCGCTGCACATCTGCACCCTGCCGCGGGCGGCACCGTGCAGGTTCTGACCTGTGCATGTGCACACACGTGCACATGCGTGTGCAGATATGTGCGGATATGCATGTGCAAGTGCATGGATACACACATGCACACAGAGATGCATATGTGTGCACATGGATATGCACATGGATGTGCACACACACGCAGGGTGCAAGGGCGCACGTGCACCCTGGCGCTCGCTGCACATCTGCACCCTGCTGCGGGCGGCACCCTGCAGGTTCCGACCTGTGCACGTGCACACACATGCGTGTGCAGATATGTGCGGATATGCATGTGCAAGTGCATGGATACACACATGCACACAGAGATGCATATGTGTGCACATGGATGTATGCACGGATGTGCACACGGGTGCACATGTGTGCACATGGATATGCACATGGATGTGCACACGGATGCATGCGCACACGGATACATACACACACATGCACCCATCATGCTGCCCCCTTAACCCCTCTGTGTGCACACACACAACACATATTGATATCCACCTCCCCTAAAAAAACCAAGCRTGAGTCCCCGTCTCGCACCCCTGTGTCCCCCCACGTCCYCAGCTGTCCCCTGCGCTGCTGGGGRGCCCCTGACCCCCCCAGCCTGACTCCCACCTTCCCTTCCTCCCCATCCCGGCTCGTTTCTCCCCTCTGTCCGCAGGGTCGGCTCCAGGAGGGTCCCGCYGGGCGCCTCGCGGGAGCCCCGTCCCTGTGAGCTTCCCTTTGTCATCCTATGCCTGAGCGGAGCCTCGAGGCTGGGACGGCGAAGGGAAGCCCACGGCCGGGCCAGCGCCGCCACCACCGCCAGCCGGGGACAACCTGGGGACGAGGGCAGCGCGCCTGGGGGGAGCATCTGGGGCTGGAATTAACGGTTGGGGCTAATGAGCAATTTGGGGTAATGGGCGGTTGGGGGTAATGAGTAGTTGGGGGTAACGGGCGGTTGCTTTTGGAGGAACTATATTGTGAATAGGAGTCTCGTTTTGTTTGTTTATGTATTTACTCATTTATCTATTTATTTATTTATGTAGGGGGATTTTTTCCCCGAAAAACATTCATAAAATTCCCACCGCTGCAGAAAGAGTTGATGGGGAGGGGGCGTCATTAAACTAATTAATGGGGTTTGAGGGGGGAAAGGAGCTTGCGGGGTGAACCCCCGCCCCGGGCTGTGTCCGTGTGTCCCCTTGTCACCCCCGGCCCTCGTGCTTCGGTCCCCCCTGGGTCGGGGGGAAGAGGAGCCCGACCCGTCGGGCTGGAGCGCCGGGAGCCCCTCCAGGAGGCAGGGGAGGGGGCGTGGCCAAGACGTGGGCAGGGAAAGGGGCGTGGCCAACGCGGGGGAGTGAAAGGGGCTGGGTCAATGAGGGGGCGTGGTAATGGGCGGGGCTAGCCATGCTTGGGCGTGGCCATCGCGAAGGGGCGGGTTTGTTCAAGAGCGTGGCCGGTTCGGGGGCGGGGCCCGTCGCATGGGGGCGGGGCTCGCGGTGGCGCCCGCCCCCCCCGCAGCGCCGCCTGTGCCGGTGCCGCCGGGACCCCGGGCGCAGCGCCCCCTGCCCGCGGCTCTCGGCAGGGCCGCGCCCCCCGCGGTGTCCCCCGGTGTCCCCCGGTGTCCCCCGGCGGCGCCGGGACAGCGCAGGGATCCCCGCAGCCTCCCACGGATCACCCAGCTCAGCCTTGACCCGGCCGCGCCTTTTCCCGGCGGCTGCTTCCAGGTCCGGGAGGAAACGGGCGGTTTGTTTCAGTGCATCTCGTGACTGCCGCCTTGCGATCCCGGGAGCTCGGCGCGGGTTATAAAGGCGGCGGGATCCCGCCCCTCGGGGCGCTTTGGGCGCGGGGCTTAGGGAAAATACATGTGTCTGTGTYGGGAAAATAAAAGCCGTCCTTTGGTGGGGAAAATTCGCTTTTCCAGCGCCCTTGGGAGGCGGCAGGCGCCGCTGGGGGAGGGCCCGGTACCGAGTACGGTCGCTTGTGCCTGTGTTTTCCCGGGAGGGAGAGCGGTGGATCGGCCCTTTCCATCTGCACGGCTTTAAAAATCGCTTTAAATWAWAWAAATAAATAAATAMATAAATAAATAAATAAGGRRRAAAAAAAGGAAACCCGTTTTGTTTGAGAGGCCCCGTGTCCCGCTGCCGAGCCCCGCGGCGGTTGGGGCCGCCCGGCCCCGCTCCCGCCCTCTCGCCGCCTGCCCGGTTGGGCTCCGGGCCGCGCT